AGTGTTAAAAACCGGAATTTTCCTTTAAAATCTGTTTTTTTTTTTTCTTTTTTCTATGCTGGCCAGTTAGTTATATGTCAGCTTGTACACCTCATCTGTCAATCAAATTGTTTCAATCATTGCATCTTCATTCATATTTCGCAGCTAATATACGCAACGGTTGAAATAAGAAATAAGAATATATTTAATTTACCATTGAGTTACGTCCCAGTGTCCACGGGGATGGACGTCTGTGTCTTCAGCAGGCGTAGTGCTAAAAGAACTGGCAGCGTTACGAGGCAAGGGCTGAAACATGTACGGCTGTAATCCTTCTACACCAAAACAAGCTTCTGCCGCCCTGGCGTCCTCTTCCACAACATCTTCGTACCCGCTTTCCTCCTCTAAATAAAAAATGTATGATCGAGGAGACTCATCTACGACCTCCGACACAAAACTCTCCTCCTCTTGCATGTTTCCGCTGTCCATAGTATTGACAGTGTCTTTTCTAAGTGCTACTTGGTCCCAATGTAATTTCCCTACTAGCACTAAGTTGCTAACTGGTTAGCAAGATGCTTCCTAGACACCAGACACAACCAAACATGCTTGCGAACCTTCTACCACAACAATCCCGACCCCTTGATAATCAATCAATCACATTCATTTTATTCACTCGTGTAAAGTTGCGGACCACTCGGGAGAGTTCGGAAACACAACGGTTGGAACAGCTGCTTCCCTACGACTTTTTTTATTTTGATTTTTTTATTGATCAGCTTGAAATCCAATAAATAAAAAAAACGACTGTTATTCATTTTAACATTTATATATCCTGAAGTAATGGTCCTTCTAACAGTTTAAGACCTCAGTTTTTCTTTTCTTTGCGTTTGAGTTTAACTGTAGATGGAAATTAGCACTAGCTGTAATCTTGTATGTTTGGATTCTATTTTTTATTTTCTTTGTAAATTTTAAGAGGTCTGCAGCTGAAGCACAAAATGTAGTTAATTTTTCCTCAAAATTATAAAGCCTTTTTTCACGGCAAACTGTGGTAAAGAGGAAACCTCACTAGTATTGACCAAATATGGAAGGATGGGACCCCTGGGGGAAAGTGATCACCATGAGGACAGAACACAACAGGACTTGTCTGCAGTGGTGCCCCTCTGAGAGGCTACCTCTGTGCCTGTCATCTGCAGACAACACTCAGGCTTGACTAGGAGGTTTGCCACCCCAGGATACTCTGTCCCTGAAAGACTCCATCACCCTGTTTAATCTGGAGCTTTTAGGAGCGTTTGTCAAAATCTGTTTAGACTGAGTCATTCCTAAATCTGTCAGTTTTATTTTGTTTTTGGTTTTTTTGCCACTTAAGTGCTTAACAGTCAAAAAGGCACGTCTTAATGTTTATTATCAGAAGTTAATGCTGACACTATGTTTATGGTTGTAGTATTTTAACATTCTGGCTTTATCTAGTTAATTGCTAGGGCATTAAAAAAAATACTAAAGTTGCTCATTATTTATGTATATTTATATTGTATATATATTATGTATATTTATATTATACCACAAGCTTAGTTTTTAAGTCCAATTTGATTTGATGTGATTGGTCAATGCGGTTATTGTTACATTTGTTTATTTTTTATGATTTAGAAAACATTAGTTGTTACTATCAATGTTTTCAATATCAGCACTGAAAGAGATTGTTTGAACGGATTTGTTTTTTTTTTTTGAGGGATTTAAACATTTTACTGCATTTCAACTCTGCATGCCAGTAAAAAATTTGATCAGTTGAAGCAACTGTTCTAAAACACACAATAGATGCAAACTGAGTCAACAGAGAGGCTCAGAAAATGGGGAGACCTTAAAAACAAAGTCATTAAAAAAGTTTTCCCATTGTTTTGAAGCCATATATTTTGTTTTGTTTATTTACGTTTCTTTTTGTTTAACAAAGGAAAGTTCTTGCTACAATCACACTTATTATAAACAAATATTTTAGTGTTTGTTTCTACCAGCATCCAACATCTAAAGACTGAAGGCCTTCATTCATATTCGCAAAACAACTCAAACATAGTCAAACTAAACCTGTGAACATCAATTTTTAATTCTTGCCATAGCCTTTAATTTGGATTACAGGCTGGTCTTTAATTGTACCATTCTAGAACACAGCTATGATTATTTGAATGAGCCATTGTTTCTCTGTTGTTTTTAGAACCTTTGTTCTACTGGAAAATGAACCTCCACCCCAGTCTCTGCTCTGGATTTAGCTCTGTCTAGCTTCTCATCAACTCTGACTTAATTCCCTGTCCCTGCTGAAGAAAAGCACCTAAATATCATGACACTCTAGCCTAAATCTTTATGATGTTCACCAGCATAAGCTGCGCTGCTTTTGCAACTCATAGTTCTTTGTGGGTTGGTTGTAGTTTTTGACCCTTAAAGTAAAAACACAATACCTTAGTGAAATCAATTGAGTCAAATACATGTTTATGTAATTCTAATCAAAAAATGTATTTCTTCTTCTTTTCTTTTTCTCAGTCCTTACCAGAAACCCGCATCCCCAGCTATGCGGGCAGTCTGCATCTAAAGAAGTCTCTGGTACCAGCGCTCTACAGAGTCATCCAGGACCCCAACAACGAGGTGAAACACACACGTTTTCTTTTTATCTTGCTATGCTGCTTGTGACTCACAGCCTGATGTCTGGGTTGCACTGAGAAACAGAATGACACATCCGTTTCTACAGGATAAACACACACACACACACTAAAGCCTATCATGTGCCGTTGGTGTGAGTGAGTATGATTAAAGGGCAGAGCGGCAGTGGCTGCAGCTTCATCTGTGAGATGGTACACAGCGTTCCCAGTTTACTGTACGCACACTCAATGGCGCGGTAGGACAGAGACACAGTGAGCTTTGAAAAAACAAACTGATGCTCACACCAGAGAAACTACATAATGAAGTAACACCTTCTGTGGGTCAGGGGGTTTCAGCCTCACCCTGCTGCACATTAAAACCACATTTGTTTGAGGTTTTTGCTGCACCATTTTAGAGAAGAGGTCGGAGGTATTCAGAGAGGCTGGACATTTGTCTGTGCTGCCATTTCCCCCCCTTTTTTTCCACAGTCAAATGTAAGAGTCAGGCACCCAGGGATCTAAATTCCATTAGTGCTGTCAGTCTCGCTGCACAATCCCATTAATGATGAAACGCCTGATCCAGGACAGCGGATCCGTGTTTATGTATGAGGAAGAGGGTCTGTGTGATAGAAAGGGAGGGAAAGCTGTAACTTCTGCTGATGCCATACAGAGCAGAATCATTGCCAAGTTCATTAATGAGTGCTGCTTATTTCTCTGTCACATAAAACAGGTTAAAAAAGCCTTAGAGGGCTCCCGGTAAATCCATTATTTAGCAATGATCCCCTCCACCCCCTTAAGCAGGGGTGCTCAAGTCCAGTCCTCAAAAGCTACTAACCAGCAACTTCTTGACGCAACCATTTTTAACACACCTGAATCAAATGAGTGGCTCGTTACCACACCTCTGCTGAGCTAAATGAGGGATTGAGGCTTTAGATTCAGGTGTGCTAGAGAAGAGATACATCTAAAAGTTACAGGATGGTAGCTCTTGAGGACTGGACTTGAGCACCCCTGCCCTAAAGGTTCCCTCTATCTGTCCATCCTCCTATATCCAGATCTAATTCATTCATAAGTTTTCGTAAGGGCTGATATTAAACTCTAACATGTATTAAAGAGTAAATGCTTTAGAAGTGAAGTATCTGCAAACTCTGTCACTGTTGTCAATGCTTTAATGCTTACATGTATTTATTGAATACATGGTGATCTGTAAAATACTCTCATAGTTCTTAACATAAGATCTCCAGATCTCCGAAAAGTTTGAATTTTATTTTAGGTTTCAGTCCATCCATCATCCACTGTAGAAACTGAATGATTGTTTGTGATCGTCTGGTTTAAATAAACAGGAGTGTGGAAAGTCTGAACGCTATAAGTTATGAGCTGTTTCAGAGGATTTACATGTCTATTTAACTATTTATCTATTTTTTTTTTTTTTTTTGGTTCCTAGCTCCTGGAACCCGTGTGTCACCAGCTCTTTGAGTTGTACCGGAGCTCTGAGGACCGCCTGCGACGTTTCACCCTGCAGTTCCTGCCTGAACTTGTGTGGGTTTACCTGCGCGTCACTGCCAGTAGGGATCGCCAGAGCAATGGCTGCATTGAGGCCCTCCTCTTGGGTATCTATAATCTGGTGGGTGCCAGTCCTTCTGTGGTCAGAGTAAGCTGGGTTAAAAGCCCGCTGTAGGTTCAGTTACACTCTACAGGTTAAATTATAGATTCTATTAATACGGTGAGGCATATCAAATATCCTTCATAGCTGTAGATGGCTTTGGCTTAAAGATATGGGGTTTTGAGATTTGGAAGAGTACAACTAAATCATTATGTTTACAGTCCTGGATTACACACTCATCCTTGGTATTTATCAAATGATTTTGACTCCATATGCAAAGTTTATTTTCTGATAGCTTAGATTTGGAAGCAGAAACAGAATTTTCATGTTTTTCCTTAATCATTCATGTATATAGGCTCATATATTTTCATCCAAACTTACTAATACTTGTTTATATGTACCGTATTTTCCAGATTATAAGCTGCTACTTTATTCCCTTGCTTTGAACCATGCAGCCTATTTAAGGTGCAGCTTTTTGGGGGATTTTTCTTAACCGCCAGAGGGGGAAGTCAAAGTTGGAGATGAAAGAATAAGGGGCTAATTTTGTTTTAGCACAAGAAAATGCTAGCAGCTGTCACAGCGGAGAACAAATATCCCGAATTCACACATTTTGACATTTATTTGCTGCGTTAAAGCTGCCGAATCCATAAGGAGACTGGGCTCAACTCCTACAGCGCTGAAAGAAAGAGCTAACTAAGCCCCATCTTTCAGTAGAAGCTCTGCTGCAAGTCAACAAGCTAACGGAAGTTAGCATTCTTCTTTGTTCCTACTCCAGCCTATATGTAGAGCTCCCCCTACAGGTTTGGTGGGAGACAGTTCAGGAATTCATAGCCCGCTGTGGCTTATATATATATATATATGTAAGTTTTCTTTTTTTTTTTTTTTTTTCCAAAAAATATATTGGGGTATATACCCCTTATAGCGAGGTGTGCTCTATAGTCTGTAAAATACGGTACCTTTATTAGTTACAGAGGAACCACAGCTTCTGTTGTAGCTCTGACTGAATGCCTCACTGCTGTTTCTTTTAGTTTTATAAACAGTCAGTTTTCCTAAAAGTCACATCTGGGGTGAAGAAACTCTTCCTTGTTCCACCCACCTTGTGAAATGCACAAGTGAGTTTAAAACGATCCCAAAGCATAATGCTGCCATCACATGCGACCCCACCCAGTTGGTTCAGTGCTCGGAGGCCAAGTGCATCCAGCTTTCCACTTTGGAGCAGTTGTTTTTCTTTTTTCCTCTTGGTTTATGTTTACATAAAAAAAAACTCTTAGGAGACTAAGGTGAAATTTGTGTAGGTTTGTTTTGTTTTGTTCCAAGTATAAATGATCAGTTACCTTTAGAACCAAACAAAGGATGTGAATTTGTCAGGTTTTTTGTGTCAGATTACTTTCAAGGTGACCTGCAAGGAAAACTCTGGTTAATGGATTGTCCAAAGGGGAATTGCATCACCAGGAAACACCCTTGAGGAATTGTGCTAAGAGCAAGAGATACCAAATGTCACATCTCCATGTCAGCCGGCGCTGCTAAGGGGCGCATTCATAAATAATTAATTCCTCTGTGTCTGAATCTCTCAACACACACAGACGTGGAGCACATGCTCACAGATGTCTCTCCATTGACCAGCAAGTCCAGATAAACAGCCTTGCTCTCAGCAGTTCTCAGATATTCAGAGATAAGCTGTTAGCCAGATCAGGGCAGAGAGAGTAACCTACAGCCCAGTCAAGGAGAACACGGTGAAATGTTAAAACGATAAAGACCTTACTTCAAAACAATGTTGAGGGGGAACATAATTAAAAAGACTTAATTTGTAAATGCTAATATCCCTTTGAAGCTGTGGCTCAGAAGAGGCCAAACCTGACTGATGTTTGCACCATGCTCTTGTTAAAACGTTTTTGGAGAATAAGACTGACATTATAGATAACCTCATCTTGTGCATTGACAGACATCTTTAGCATTCCTCTTACATTTCTGCTCATTTGAAGAAGAGAACATCCCAACTCAGACTTTCCTCTTTTTGTTGCAGGAAATCGTTGACAAAGACGGCAACAGCAAGCTTCTTTCCTTCACAATCCCATCTCTGTCCAAACCATCAGTATATCATGAGGTAAGACTCCAGCTTTTCCTCCTTAAAATGACTCAAATTGTTGGTTGTCAAATAACTCCTAAAGCCTCATAGAGAGGGATGAACTGTTGGGCCTGGTTGGAGCAAAACATCCTATTGTAGAAGGTTCTGTGTTGAAAACTAGTCTAAACGAGGTTCATGGTCATAATGTGAAACAAGAAGCACATGTTCTCTGTACCTCTTTTCGTATCTCTTCCTCTCCTTTTACTAAAGTGATGGATTTAAAAAATGGAACCTTTAGTTGCCCAAGTGCTTTTAATACCCTGGTATCCAGTTTCTGGAATAATTTGTTTTTAAGAAGGGAATTTAAAGCTTGCTTTTTAGCCTGCTTTCAATCTCAAACTTTGGTAGGTTTATCAGTTAACTGATTGATTCTACTTTTTTATTCTCTGTGGCTGTTTCACTCTGAGTGCTTCAGCTGACATATCAGAGAAATTCAATACAGCAAACTTTAACAGAACATGTTGACCTGGAATCATGTAGGACTAATGTCTAAGCTATCTGTCGGCCCAAGGACACAGTGAATGTTTTCGCTAAAGAAGGCATCTGAGTCGTTTTGTGTGTCTTGTGGAACAAGGGCAATCTATTGCTATAGTTACAAGCTTCAGAAGCTCCTCCTCCCACGCTGAAAGAATGAAGCAACAATAGAGGAATGTGGAAACAGATCGAGCATCTGTATGAGTCACAACAAGCCTCCCTGATTACAGCTCTGGTCTGAACAACACGTGCCCTGAAGGCCAGGAATTCATTCGCACGTAACTCATCTTTAATCTGTCGTACAGAATCACCAGATACTCAATGAAACTTCTGCTCTGTATCCTCCTGTATGGAGTGGATTATCACGCATCTTTATTTGGAGCTACTTTTAGGTTTCACACATTCATCACATGCATATCTTCCTCTTTCCATTGCACTCATAAAGAAATGATTTAATAGCAGATGATGTTTTTATTTTCCGCTCAGTATTGGGCTTGGTACAACTTGTATACTTTGCAGGTGTCAAAATGCTGCGAAAGGAAGGTCAGATCTATACATGCGTGGTTTGGTTAGTCGTCCCTCCTCACCACCTATAATGTAGAGATAACTCCAAAAGCTATCCTAAATATTTAATTTGAAGTATCTTCGCCTACATTAGTAAGCACATCCTTAAAGCTTGATGGAAACAGGAAGATTACTTAAATGTTTCATGAAGAAATCTGCAGAGGAAACAAAGATTGTTGTAAACAGTCTGCTGTAACAGTTGGACAATCAGCACTTTAAGGAAAGATGGTGGGTAGATGAATGAAAGGAAGCACCAAATAATGGTTTAACATGAACATCACCTGGACTATCTTCTATTTGAATGTTTCACTTCATGTTTATTGCTGGATCATAAAGGGCAACAATGGGAAGACTTAGGCTATTTAGTAATTATTAATATTACCGTAATTTTCAGACTATAAGCCTCGAGTTTTTCCCAATTTTTCGACCTTGCGGCTTATATAACAATGCGGCTTATCTATGGACTTTTACAGCTAACAGCCACTAGGGTAATTGCTAAATCTATGGATTTTACCATCCACCATGTTGACGTCACATTTGCTTCAACACACAAGTACGGTAGCCGCGCGCGGGGGAATGCGGAGGTCCTCCGGAAGCAGACTTCTACCGCAAGTGGTACGAGACAAAACAACAGCGAGAAAGACGGACATTAAACATAAAATACCTGCGCCTTATAGTCCGGTGCGGCTTGTATATGTACAAATCATGCGGGTTATATTCAGGTGCGCCTAATAGTCCGAAAATTACGGTAAATGTTTGCTGGATTTTACCAGCAGCCTCTGACTCTATTATAATAACCTCAATTTTCCCTGTTCAGCCTTCTAGTCTGGGGTCCATGGCTCTAACTGAGGGAGCGCTCTGTCAGCATGACCTGATCAGAGTGGTTTACAGCGGCCTGCACCCTCAGAGAGAAACCTTCACAGCACAGAACAGGTGGGAGAAACACGAAAGCAGCTTCTAAGACCAGCAGAAATACAGCTGCAGAATCAGGATGTTTGCTCTTAAACTTGGTTTGTTTTGTTTTTTTGTGCATAAGTTTTTTTTTTCCTATGCAAAAAAGGTATTCCCATTAAAATTAACAACCTTTTTAAAATAGAAAAATTATTTAATACATGCTTACTTTATAGAGAAATTATTTTTACAAAATTAGCTGGGTTACTTTCTTTTTTACCTTATTTTTGGTTGGCTTAGATTAGTTTAATCAAGTTTATATGAGTATTGTGTATTTTAGGTCAACTTTATTTAGTTTATCTTAAGTTTCCTGTGTTGATACTTCATAGGTTAGTTATTCTTAGCTTAATTAGCTTTTTAATCCTAGCTTGATTTAGCTTGCCTAGATTATCCAATCCCAACTTTTGTTTTTTCAACTTATTTTAGTTAAAAGTAGATCAAATTATTAGTTTTATAGATTGTTTAGATTTTTAATGACATATTGGCAAAATGAGCTCACTTACCAAAAGCAGAACTGATTTTAAAGCATTAGTTTACAGCCTGCGAGCGCTATAGTGTTGTTCACTGGCCGCTTTAAGTAACCACATTGCCTTATCAAATAATGTCCAATTTTAGATGTAAATGTTTATATCTTTTAGACGTCTGTGTGTTTTATTTCACCAAGTTGCCTCACAACAAAGTCTCAGACCATATATCATTTAGCCTCTATAGCACCACTCGGTAAACCTAAGAGCTTTTTTGGCTGTCGGCAGCTTTCTGCTGCTATACATGAATAATAATCTCAATGAAATATACCAGTAATCCTGCCAAAAAAAGAACACTGCTGCATTTAATAGAGCAAAGATGTATTTGTGACTATAAACTGAGTGGCAAACATAAGACTGTCTGTCTAGAGCGTTCCTCCTTCCTTAGTCTTTGCCCATTTCTTTATGCTGAGCCAATAATTGGAACTTGGTGGTTTTCCTTTGGTTTCATGCACCTTATTGTTATTATTGCTTTAGTATCATGATTTTCACCTCATAATGCTTGCTGTCTGCTCAGATATTAAGTAAAGCATCAGCTATGATGGAGCTTTACACACTTCTAAAGCCTTTGCAGGTTGTTTTTGCTGATTTAAGTTCTAGGTTTTTAATAAAGCAGCAGCCTTGTTTGCACACATACTTGACCTTTGCATTACCTCAGCAGCCAAGCTGCATATTTTTTTTATCTGCATTATCAGATATACAAAAAATAACTTACAAATAAACACTTCTTTTCTAATTGCTCCTATCTTATTGTGTGTTAACATTTGGAGGTAGATATTTAAGATATCAAACTCTTAAAGTAGCAGTTTTAGTCTCCTGTCTGAAGGCTCATTAGGTTCACAGGTTCCTGTAGAAACATGGCTACCTGAAATGATTTTAATTGAAATTTAATTAATTTATTTAAGCTTAAGATTTTCCTTGATTGTTGCAGGTTTGAGGTGTTGTGTTTCCTTATGCTCTGCTACAATTCTGCTGTGGTCTACATGCCCCTTTCCTCCTACCAGTCTGTCTGCCGGATGAGCTCAAGGTGAGAAAACCATCTGGAGTCCAACCTTTTCTTGTTCTTTCTGTCCTCAGGTATTAACCTAAGTCCTTCTATTTTTTTTATTTTTTATCACATTTTTATTTTGAGTTGGGATTCAGTCTCCTTGAATTCCTGGTAGCTTTTCTTGTTCCCTGATTTCTAGCTGTGCTGGTGGTTGGAAGGTTTGATAAGAGCGACTAGATTTGAGCTGATCAGCTCGTGTAGTCGGCTTAAATAAAAACCAGACTGCAGGAGGCCTGTCTGTCTGTCTCTTCAGGAGCTGCTTTGATGCCCCTGCTTGGTTATTCTGTAGCAGCAGCGTTCAAACATTTCAGGATATGAATCTTAGCCTGCTGTGACGATCAGACCGCGCCTAAAGCAATCTCAGTCTGGACAGATGACAAACTGTGACTGTAAAGATCAGAGCACAATGCTCTCCTTCTCTGGGTTCTTACAGTTCAGATTCTGTAGCCAGCTATTCTCCTCCACACACCTGGATCGGTTAACAGTAGCGGTTTTCCTCCTAATGTCCATCTGAGACTAGCCTGCTACAGAAGGTAGAGAAACTTAATGAAACTGCTCCGTAACTCATTTTGCATTTCCCTCCTCAGGGTGTGTGTGTGCGGCTTCCCTCGTCAGCAACAGAAGCTCTGGAGGGAACCCTGCAACCGGGTCCTGCTGGACCCGGAGTTCATGGTGCAGATGCTCACTGCCGTTTACCACGCTATGTAAGTATCTTTAAACTCCGCAGTAAACATTGGAATCAGTCATACATGTTGAGGCACAATTTTGCATAAAACAGCCAAATAGATTTAATACTTACAGTAATTAATAATCGGTTTTTGGTCGCCTGGCAACCCAAAAGTCAGTGTTTTGCTCTGTTGGTGCGTGATGTTAAACCAAAAAAGTTCTGCTGCAAATACTTTTCTCAACAGCTTATCTACATCGATAGGTTTGTTGTTTGGTGATGAACAAGTAGAGTAAGATTGTTCTTCAGCAATGAAAAAATATTCTATTTCTGTTTACATCCATTCTATCAACTAGGCGTGTAAATCACACCCATCATGGCGATTCGATTCAGTATTGATTTCCTGACCCAACGATTCGATTATTTTTGATACTCAAGAATACACCACGATTCGATTCGTTTTGATTAATTGGTTAAATTTTTTTTAATAATTATTTTTTTTTTACATTAAACAAAGTTTAATGTTTTTTTTTAGAAACAACAGCAAATAACAGAAGTAGAAAAGTTGCATCAAAAAATACTGCAAAAATACTGCACAGAATCATTGCAATGAGTTCAATTCAATACCTCGGCTCCAGAGTGTGGACGTCCCCACCCCCTTGAGAGACGCTCTGCTGCTCCTCTCCCAAATTGTAGATGACAGCAGACAGTGCCGCAGACAGGAGGCCAGCTTGTTTTGTTTTTATGACCGAAATTGCGGAAAACAACTCGTGAAGTTTGACCCGCTAGAAGAGCGAGGTGCGCGAGAACGCTGGGACCATTTTTCCACCTGGATCTCTGCTCTTTTTGTCCCTCATGTCCCCCCGTCGTCGGACTACACTCGCCCCCACTTCCTCGCCGCCTCGGCCGTATCTAGACCCACAGTGTGTAGCTCAGACCATGCTTCAATATTGAGCATAATTTAAAAATGTGTCTGTGTCAAGTTTACTGCAACACACTGCTGTAAGAGTATAACCAGGAAGCGAGGTAGGAGGGCAAAATAGGTTTAGCGCCACCGCAGCACGGGAGGGAAAATTACGCCCAGGAGCAAATGGATAAAAATAGACCGGAGGAAAAAAACAAACATGAATTGATTATCTTGCGGACGTGTCGATGCATCGGATCGTCGGCTTTTGGGTCGATGCATCGATACAAAACGATTATTATTTACACCCCTACTATCAACTATTCCCAGCCCTCTACTCACAAAAGTTTACATTTTATTTTGTCCATCACACCTGATATATTTTTCTTGCAGAATGATCCAGAAAAGATGACTTTGTTGATACAATAATGGAGAAATTCACTTGTTAAAGCAGCTCTTAATAATACGCATGTGGGTTACACATAGTTAAAAAATTTTCAGTGAAACAGAAGGAGGTCCCTTCTCCCTTTCATCATTGAGGAAATCCCTCTCATATTATGTTGGACTATTTATTAATGAAACAATATTGGAAAGATGTTCATAGAACACTGCAAGAATGTGTCATGCCCTTTTATATAAAAAAAACTTTTTGGAAACATCTCAGAATCTTGGATGGAAAATGGTAAATCTCTATTAAAGGTATAGGGGAGGATGTTCTTGTGGGTGGATCATCTAAATAAGTGGTCGTCCTAATTGTCAATCATTCTATTGATATGTTTGGGTAAAGCCATCCTTTTGCTCATCCGCATTATCACTTACCGGTTATGAGTAGTGGAAAAATTGCAAATCTTGGAAAAATAAGCTCGTATGAGGGATGCAAAAAGCAACTTTTAAACAGAGCATGCACAAGGAGGAATGGGCTCATGCATGCTCTCGTACGCGTTTAATAAACATTCCCTCTCTGGAGTGGGCATGGGGTTGTGCATATGAACACAGAAGGAATGGGTGATTATTCTCCCTGATCACTCCTGTAGGGTTATTTATTGGGAATAAAAAAAATCAGAGCTGTCTGTATCACTAAAAAATAAAAAATACAAGGATTTAATTTGTCCATGTGTGAATGAGTGGCTCTTCATGCTGTGGCTGGCCCTGGTCCCATCCAGAGCTCTACCCTGCATGGAGGGCAGATCAACTGGAATCTGCAGAAGGACCTTGGCACACACTGAGGACACAGTGGGATTTAGGTTAATATGTTTGCTAATGCTTTGCAACAGTAATGCCACATGAAAAGAGAATGAAAGATCTGCAGGGATATCAGATCATCAGCATTTAAAATAAATGCAACAAGGATTTCTTTCTTAATAAATGAAATTTGTATTCTGGCACCTCTTTAGCTGTGGCTACATCAGACAGTCTGTTCCTATTCATTCCCGTTCTTTTGATCTCCAATCTAAAGGGAGCCCCGTAAGCATCTATTCCTCCCATTGTGAATGTTGCTCATGCAGAAATGGATCAAAGAGTTCAGCTGCTTCATTTTGCATGTTTTATTGAAATCATTTCTTTGCTCTCCAATGCAATCATCAGCTCCTTATAGGTGCAAAGAACAGTGCTTTATTAGTTTAGCCAGTCAAGAAACTTTATTGAAATTGTATCAAGCAAAGCTTTGTTACTAGGGGTGGAAAAAACATCACAGGCTGCAACCCTGCTCATCTGTTGAACCCACAGTAAACGGCTAATAATAGTCCAGGGGACGTCAGACCGACATCAAAGTGAACATGTGAAAGTTTCCTTTTTCCTGGATGTTAAAAAGCAGCTTGTTGGTGTTTTTGATTGCAGATACAATGGAGAGTGGGAGATGGGCCAAGAAGCTCTGGAGGACATCGTATACAGAGCCCAGCTAGAGCTCTATTCCCAGCCTCTCCTGGTGAGTCTAACTGGACGATTTTAGATCCTATTCTGACACCTTTATTTTGATTCAAATTGATTCATTTGTCCAATATATTCCAGTTAAGTCAATGTCCGATTTAAATACTGCTACAAACCAACGAGTTTAATCCACATTTTAACATATTCAGGTCTAATTCATTTGATACTGCTTGTTAAGTGTTAAAAGCACCCTGGATCAACTGTAATTTGCAGCAATCCCTCATTTCTGATGACATATATGTGGTGTTGGAAAGGAACTAACGTCATTTCAAAGAAAAAAATTTAGCTTGGTATTAGCAACCATCTAGAGAATGAGAGGACGTAAGGGAGTCCGAGAATCACTTAGTCAGAAGCACTTTCTAGGGAACAACTAAAGAGAAAACACAAAGTAAATGGCAGCAGAAGACACGGATAAAAACAGAGAGACATGGACTCGAGTACGTTATATGAAAGGAAAACGGGGAAAAAACTGTTAGAAAGTTAAGGCAGAAGCATAACATTACAGATGCACACAGGATATCTGGGTTAAGAAAACCTTTGGAGAGACAACCTAGTTAAAAAAGTAAATGGTAGAATTTGATTTATCTTGGAAAGAGACACATAACTAAAACCAATAATGGAGGTAAGAGAACCTTCTTTTGGGAATAAAGAAAAACCTTTATGGCAGCAGTATTTTAGTAAATGGCATTTCAAAGGAAGGTGAGAGAAAACTGATTGCGTTCACCCAACAGCATTTTCTATGGGATTAAGTAAAGTAGAAAACATAATAACTTCTTTTTCTCTGTTAAAAACCCAGCTGCTCACATAAGTAGTCGTAGAGCCAACTCTATTAACGACCTACACAAAGCTAGTGGCAGCTAGTTTCTCTCAAGAAAAATTAATCCATATAAATAGAGACATAAAGCATTATTTTGGTATTGTAATGGTTAAAATGTCAATGATGCCTCCCTTTGTCTCAGCTGGGGAACGCCATGAAGAACTCGCTGCCAGAAAGCGCTCCAGAAACACAGCGGGGACGCAAGGTGCTTCAGGTAGAGGTGACACCAACCATCAGCCGTATATCCATCTCAGCAATCACCACAGCTTCCATACGGCGCCACCGCTGGAAGAGAGAGGGTAAGGCTACAGCCCCAGGAACGCTGTGGAGTAAAGCTACAGTGCAGGAGTAACTTAGCAAGGAAGAGCAGATCTAGCTTTAAAGGAGCACATTTAGTCTTGATGAAGCTGAGCTCATAGTCTGTCGTTGGTTTCCGATCTAAGGAAGGCCGCGTCAAGGAGCTCCTCGGTGAGAAATGACCTTCTTGGTGTTTTTCTTCATCAGAGAGAAAAATAAACCAGTTTCCTCTGTAAGCCGTTCACACCATTAGAATAGCGTGAATGGTGTTTAATGTGCTCATATAGTCTGTGTTGAAGTGCTTGTGCCACTCATCGCTCCCTGTCGCTTTTTTCAGTTTTTTTTCTTTGCTTATTTGTCTCTTCAGTCAAGAACATTTTCTTCTTTACCTCACCAGTAAGCCTTGAGGCTTTGTGGTTAAATACAGTCAAAAAAATAGTGCCTGATTATTGAGGTGACTGAGGAGGTAGTTAACTGTTAGAAACACACTTTAGAGATCTGTTAGTTGATGTGTGTCCAGGATGGGAGCCACCTGAGCTGAAGGTTGCTGCTAATAAAGACGCACGTCTCCTCATCTGTGTTGTTGACTCCCAGATTGTTTTGACTACTCAACCGATGCAGAGTTGAGCCTCGCCATCAGTCCTCCTAGCCTCGTCCAGCACCACCTCCACGACCCTCCCAGGGAAACTGCAGCTAAAGAGGATAGAGGAGGGCGGCATCACAGCCACCACAACGGCGGCAGCAGCATCATCCCCCCCATCACACTCGAGGGTAGGGGACAGGGGAGGCCACTCTTTGGATTGAGAGTCTCAGGAAGAGTTGGCCCTCTGGATCTTCCTCCTCCTCCTAATACCCCTCCTCGGCTCAGGGCGGTTAACTATGCCTTTGCTGTTGTTGCTGCCTCCTCACTTCCCCAGAGTAAACTAACTCATCCAACCTATCAGACCCTCGGTCAACCAACCTGCTACCTTACTGCTTTCTGCTGCATTTAACTGTGGAAGAGTTGCCTATTCTGGGGTTGCAGGAAGTGTTGCTACTGGCCGTTCTGCATGGGCCATCATCTTCTTCCTCATCATTCCTTCAATTTCAGACCCGTTATCACTCACTGAGCCTGCAGCTCGGCCCGATCCTCAAGGTTCTCTGATAATTGGTCCTCTTAGTAAATATTTTGTTTTCTAATCTGGCACAGAGGCATTGACATCTTGTGTCTGTGCTTCATCTTGCTGTGTCTGAAAACACCCAAATTCATTGACCGTCAGGCCAGCAGCAGCCATCTGCTGCAGGAAGAGGAATCAGCAGCGACACTCTGCTCATCTTAACATGTCATATCTCTGATCCTCTGCTCAGTGAGTGAGAAAGAGCTCTGCATGCACTCGCCTCAGTAATTTCAGCCCAAAACATCAAACCTTTGCTTATGTCTTGGCCAAATGAATTAAGATCGACTAATATTTGAAAAAGATCCGCTGAATCCTCTGGCAGGAAGCTAGCAACCATTTTGTCTTATCCTTTACGTGTCCATCTTCCTCCCTGGTCTCTTCTAAACCTTGAAACCTCAATCAGACCAGGAACCGACTCATTTTCTCACTCATCCCTTTGTCTGAGCGCCATCTAGTGGTTTTCCAGTGATATTTCACTGAACTCAGTGCAGCTGTGATTTGTAATCACTGGACATTTGCTTGCATAGAAAACGCATCCACCTGAGTGTGCATTCTATAATTTGGGGCTGCAGTGCTTTCTTGTTGGACTTAATGCACAATTTTGCACGTTTGCCGTACTTTTGTTCTCCATTATGTCATTTGTGTTTTTATTGTACGTCTGCTTAAGGACAGACATTAGATTTCCATGTCTTCAAAGCAAGCTTAAAGCATATTTAGGTTACTTAATTTGGTCATGAAACCGCTCAGTGACGGGGGGCTTTGAATAGTTTTTTTCGTCTATGAACAAATTTGATCTCGTTCCTAGCTTCAGTTCTCTGCAAAGGCATTCACAACCCTGGACTGATTTTTATATTGTGTCAAATCATGACCACAAGCTTTAGTTTTCTTTTTATTAAGAATATGAAATAAAATCCAAAGCAGCCATTTAATGGTAGGCATCACAAGAAGATAGAGTAGTTGATAAGTGGTTCGGTGAGCTTTGGTAAGATGGTTTATGAGGCATATTCAGGTGTTGGAATGGTCCGCTTGAAGTCAAAACCCAGAATCTGAAGCAAGACGTAAACAATGATATTGATAAATGATCTCAATCAAGTCTGAATAAGTTTTGCTATCCTGAAAAAACCCTTTTAAAAAAAAAAAAAAAGCACTAAACCATTAGAGACCCGGCCCCCTACAGAATCACAGCAATAGATGCCGAGGAACTGAATACAAATATGCACTACACTCCACTCTAAAAAATCACTTTAAATGGTGATTTGTCTTTCTGGTCTATCACATTAAACTCTGATTATAAATTAATTCAGATTAATATTTTGTTTAAATAAAATAAAAGTCCAAAGGATGTGAATGTTTCTGCAGTGCACTGTAATGAATAAACTAAAAATGGTCTGAAAGAACCATGAAAAAACGATTTTTCACAGCGCTTCCTGTTTCAGGACTGATTCAACACTTGATACGGGCTACGTTAACCATTAATACATGGTGATTATTACAAAAACCATCAGATATAACCGTCTCCATCTGAAGCCCCAGGATACCGTTGTGAGAGGGAGGGATTAACCTGAATGTTTACGGTGATCATAGAGCCTAGTTCTACAGAAGCTGCTACATCGGGTCAGCATGTTCTCCACACAGGGCGGGCTTGGCTCCGCCTGCCAGCAACATGGATGGCGTGCTATGGGGGAAAGAAGGGACGGGTCAAGAGAGCATGCATCTTCTCCTCATGTTATCTGCATGTCAATCCAGACCCTTTTTCTTCTCAGCTTTCAGTTTCCTTTGTCCCAGTGATGCATGACAGAGAGAGAGAGAGACAGCCGGTCTCCTGTTTGACAGGCTTTACCCTGCATACTGCATCGCCAATAATCTGCTTGGTTTTTCCTATATATTGTTGTTTTTTTGTTTTTTTTCGTTTTCAGCATTCATTGACGGTCTGTAAAATGGATTATTTATGTTTTACTTCTTAAACATAATTTCAGACTTTTAATTTGAGTGAAACAAGAGGATATAAACTGTAGATCAGATCTGAGCTCAAACACATATACATAATAAAACAGTTAGTCCTTCTACAATGCCAGAAACTCACGTATTTAGACTGATTTATTAAAAATGATTTGAAAAACAACCGAGGAGGATATAAAATGTGCAAAATCAGCTTTTAATAAAAAAATGCTTTAACATGAGAAATAAACGTTTTAAAGCAATGCTTTGCTATGCTTTTAAACCAACTATTAGCTTGATTTTAGATCTGTTTAATAGTTTTTCAGCTCAGTATTCATTTGCTGCATATGGATGCTCCTGCAGGCTTCCCTTTAAAAAAGAAAAAAACCTCTAAGATTCCCTAAAATATAAAGGCTAACTAAACTAGAATTTATTTCTACTCCACAAAACAGCTTTGAAACCTGATCAGACATATTTTTGCTTGTTTCCTTGTCTTTACTAGCAACTCAATGGCTGCTCCAAAGGCCTCCTTTAGTCCAAAACATTGAAGGACACTAAAATTTTCAGACAGGCCAGTATTAGTGGTAGCCTGGGTGCCA